AAAAACTTCTTTCTCACATATAAAATTTCTTTAAAAAAAATCAATTTTTTTTAAAGAAATTTTATATATGAGAAAGAAGTTTTTTAAAGATTTCTCAAGAACTACCAGGCCGATTTTAACATTCTTACTACCATTAGATGCATCTTGATAAGCTTTACAACTTTGTTACAAGCCTAAGAGTAATTTATTTAGTAAAAAAAAGTTTTAGATAGAAGCGCTGCATATTCGGGCTAATAGTAAATTTTACATATAAAAAAAAAAATATTTGTTTAGGTGACTCGTGATTTGCCTATTAATAATTTCTCGAAGTTTTCCTTTAAAAGTTACTTCTGTTACAGGGTTTTGTTATAGAAAAACTTCATTTTTTTTTTTTATGAAATCTTCAATAAGTTGGGTAAGGATTTCATTTTTTATTTCTTAAATTCGTAAAGTTTCTGTATATTGTTGTGATAGATAGTCAGCTAATTCTTCTTCTATAGGTTCAATAGAAAAAGTAATATTGTCAAAGTCTATATTTGAAAAATAATTATCTGATATATCAATATTATTCAAATATTGGGTTGGTAACTCTGGCCCTGTTTCTAGTAGGTATTGTAGTGATATAATAATGTTTGTTTCATTAGTATAACAATAGAATTTCTAGTAATAGTCAGGCTATTGTTTGTTACAAGAGGGTTCTGGCTCCAAAGTACAAGGAAATTATTTAAAGTAGTTATAGTCTAGAGCTGTAATTGTTGTAAGCAGGAGTTTCTATTTTTAAAAAGTCAGGTTGGGTATTTCTATTTTTAGAGCAACTCACATTAGAAAACAGATATTTGGAAGTAAGAGTTTCTATTTATAATATCTATAGTAATACAAATTAAATTAATAGATTTACAGATTGTTTGCTTGTGTATCTCATATAGTAATATCTTTGTCTACTCAATTTGTCAAACAAGTTTTTGTTTAACTATATATCTGGACCTAAAAATAAATTTTTTTACAATATTCTATTAATTAAAAATTCTTTGTCTGTTCATCCCCTTAAAAAGTAAGGTCTCCAAACTATATGTGCTAATTTATCTAAAATTAGCTCTATTTGTTTTAATTGTCTATGAATTTTTTGTTTTAGCAATCACATTGTCAAAGATGATTGTTTTTCTGCAGATATTATATAATCTTTTTTTTGTGGAGTTAGAGATGTTTTTTCTATATTTATTCCTTGATTTTTGGTATTCGTTATGTTCAAAAATCTTCTATTCACAACTTTCTGGTTCTTATCTTTCTTGTCTTTTTCTCTTTTTCTTGTTTCTAAATTTTCTAATATTTTTGTTTTTTCTTCTTGTAGTTTTATTGAAAAACTATTGTCTTTTTGCCTTGTCTGTTACTTTTCTGTTTATCTTGTTGCTATTCAAAGATGTGTATACTTGTTCTGGCTGTGTGCTGAGTTCTATCTTATTAGGCACTTGGAGGCTTGGCCGGTCTTCTACTTTAGTATGCTATATATTTGGCCCAAGTAGATATTTTTCTCTTTGTCTTTCCTCTTTTGTTTTGATACTTATGGTCTTTTGTGCGAGTATTGCAAGTAATAGACCTTGCCTATTGTATTCTTGGAATAAAGATCTTTCTAATTGTTTTTTTTTATCATTTTCCAAGTTATGTATTTAGGAATCTGCATTTCTAATTAAGTTTGTGCTTTAGATACCTTGTCACTAAAAAAAAAGTTTGGTCCATGGTTAGTTGGTTACTTTAAATAACCAAGTTATAAGTCTAGAAGCAGAAACATCAGAAAAAAATCCTTCAGTTTTAGAAGCAGCAAGAAAAGGATTTTTTCAAAAAACTTAGCTTTGGAAAGTTATTACTAAAAGAGATAGATTAAAAGTTAGGGTAGTGAACTTAGAAAAGGAGGTACAAAAATTAAAGAGAAGGTTTCAAGAAAATAGTAATAGTAATAGAAATTATTTTTGTAATATTTCATAAATAATAAATAAAATAAAATTTTAAATCTAACTAATTGTAATAAAATAATAATAATTAATAAAGTTATAGTTAATAAATAATAATAAATAAATAAATAATAAATTAATTGTTATAAAATGTCAAGTAAGGTTCCAAACAAGAGAAGAGTAAAGAAAATTATTATGTTTTGATAACAATAGTAGGTTGTTAATTCTGTTTCTCGTAGTAGCAGACAAGATGATCACTATTATAATATCCTAATAGTGTTTGTTTTTTTAGCGTTGCAAGTTTATAAACTCTATTATTTAGTTTAGCTTTAATAATATAAGATCCTATTCATTTTCTCTTTGTCTTTCCTCTTTTGTTTTGATACTTATGGTCTTTTGTGCGAGTATTGCAAGTAATAGACCTTGCCTATTGTATTCTTGGAATAAAGATCTTTCTAATTGTTTTTTTTTATCATTTTCCAAGTTATGTATTTAGGAATCTGCATTTCTAATTAAGTTTGTGCTTTAGATACCTTGTCACTAAAAAAAAAGTTTGGTCCATGGTTAGTTGGTTACTTTAAATAACCAAGTTATAAGTCTAGAAGCAGAAACATCAGAAAAAAATCCTTCAGTTTTAGAAGCAGCAAGAAAAGGATTTTTTCAAAAAACTTAGCTTTGGAAAGTTATTACTAAAAGAGATAGATTAAAAGTTAGGGTAGTGAACTTAGAAAAGGAGGTACAAAAATTAAAGAGAAGGTTTCAAGAAAATAGTAATAGTAATAGAAATTATTTTTGTAATATTTCATAAATAATAAATAAAATAAAATTTTAAATCTAACTAATTGTAATAAAATAATAATAATTAATAAAGTTATAGTTAATAAATAATAATAAATAAATAAATAATAAATTAATTGTTATAAAATGTCAAGTAAGGTTCCAAACAAGAGAAGAGTAAAGAAAATTATTATGTTTTGATAACAATAGTAGGTTGTTAATTCTGTTTCTCGTAGTAGCAGACAAGATGATCACTATTATAATATCCTAATAGTGTTTGTTTTTTTAGCGTTGCAAGTTTATAAACTCTATTATTTAGTTTAGCTTTAATAATATAAGATCCTATTCATTTCTCTTTGAACTTTGCAGATCAGAATGCTTCAATATATTTTCATTGTACCTAAACTTTATCTCTTATTTCAAATTTCTCTGATATAATCTTGAAGTCAAATCTCACTTTTTGTTTCTTCTAAGATTTGTTAGTATTTTTGCAAGCTTAACTATGTTAATAGAGTAACTTATCTATCAATTCAAATGCTCATTGTAGGATACTATTTTCTAATAATATTTCTTGATCTGTTTCTTGTAGTTCTATCAGCAGGTAGTTTCAATAGATAGTACAGCTTGTTATCTATATACTAGTTAAAAAGATATATATCCTGTAGTTGCATATTACTTGGTTTGATATGCAAATAAGATAGCAAGTATATATATATCCCAATCTTCATCTATTTCTTTTACTTTTGCCAGAGAGTTGCAAAGTATTCAGTTTAGATGTTCAACTATACTATTAGTTTAAGGATGATATAGAGAAGAGAATAGATGTTTTATCAAGAATTTTTTGTACAAAATTCTCACAGCTTTACTGATAAAATTTTTTCTATTATCAAATAGTATCATTCTTGGTACGCCATGTCTATACACAATTTCTTCAAATATAAATTTGGCTAAAGTTTCTGCTCCAGTATCTGGTATAGCTTTTGCTTCAGGCTATCAGATAAGATAGTTAGTAGCTATAATAATATATCGATTATTTTGAGTAATAATTGATAAAGGTTTTACTAAATCTATATCAATATGTTTGAAAGCTCATACTACTTGAATAGGATGGAGTGGTTCTTTTCTTTTGCCTTTTTCTCTCTTCTGACAAGTCTCACATGAACGAATATAATTTTGTATATCTTTATATATTTGATTTCAATAATATTTTTTAGATATTTTATAGTATATAGTATCAGTTCCTAAGTATCTAGCAGTTGAATGACTATGCATCATATAAAGAACTGGTTTCAGTGTTGGCATTTAGACTATGTCCAATAAAAATTTTGATTGGACATAGACAAATATAGATATTGACTAGTCAATATAGTATCTATGTCCAAATAAAATATTGACTATAAAAATGTTCATGTAACAGTATTAACCAATAAAAATTATACATGTGATACTATTTGAAATAATATATATATGTACATATATACATACATACGTACGTACATATGTATATACGCATAGATATTACTATGTAGCAATTACATACAATCAAATTAAAATAGATCGCTGCAATGTTTTAAAATCAACTCTTCCAACTTATTCAAATTATTAATGCAAGATTAAATTACTTAGAAATCTTTATAACATTAAGTGAGAAAATTTTAATATTAAAAGAATATATAATTTTCAGTTAGTATATTTAAAAACTTGATTAAGTTTTACAAAAAATTAAGCATAACTTTTTTGAAAAAATTAATTTCAACAAAAAAAATAAGAGATTTATTCTTTTTTAGATTACTGACAAAAAAATCTAACCGTAAGATAGTTTACTCTAGCATATATGGAAGTTTGGATTCATATACAATTTTGTTAATTAGATATAGCAATCAGGTATCTGGTGTAAATTCGGTCTTAATTTTTAAAGCATTATCTAATAAATAACTATTGAATAATGGAATTCAGTAGTATATAATAAAGCATTACTATACAGTAGCACAGATTTTGCCAGATACAAGAAAAACTTTAACGTTAGCAAATTTAGAGAACAAATAATTTTGTAATGAAATTTCTTCATCATGATATTTACATGTGCAAAATTTTATTTTTGCACTAGTTTGTGTTATGGTACTATACTACATTATTGTTTGATCAATAATCATAATTAGAATCTTCGAACTTTCACAATTTTGAAGCTTTTTATTATTATTAAATAAAAATCTGTGATAATCAAATAAAAATTTAAGACTTGTACCATTACAATATTATATACAATTATAATTGTTCTGGGTGCAGAATAAAAAATCCATGGTAATCAAATAAAAAATTTAAGACTTGTACCATTACAATATTACAATTATAATTGTTCTGGGTGCAGAACTAGAAAATAAAAGATTCTATTTTAGTAACTTTCATACATGCGAGAGTTTTATACTTGTTTATACAAAACAGTATAAATAAAAAAGTTCAGTTTTGAAGACAATATTTAAATAAAAGTTAAAATTTACTCTTAATTTTTTTTTACTACCTGTTATGCAAATATAGATAAACTACCACATCATCTATCAGAATTCATAATCGTGCTTGAAGAAAAAGCAAATAAAAGTAATAAATATTGTATTTGTAAAGAATATATATCAGGTTCTTCATATGCAGAAGCAGAAAAAATAAATTTGCGAATATACAAGAACTTGTTTGTCATTATCTAAAATATTGTATTTATTTTAAGCAAAAATATAGTGAATCAGAGCAAGCAAAAATTTTGAGCAAATCTGTTTTAGTAGCTAATAATCGTAAGTATATTAATTAGTCCAGTTCTAATAAGTTATATATATATAATTATTAATTTGCTTTTGGTTTAGCTGAACAAAAAAATTCTGATGATAATTCTGAGGCTTCTTTATCAAAAAACTCAACGGCTAGTATTAGAAAAAATATACTTGATCATTATTATTTCCGGTCTCTAAATGAAGAACAACAAAAACATTTTGAACAACTTATACTTAAAGCAACTGTATTATGTAGTTGGGCTTTTTCATGGGTAGAAAATCCAGAAATAAAGACACTTTTTGAATTTGTTCATCCTTTAATTAAATTACCATCACGAAAAAATCTTAGTGGTCAAATTTTATTCGAATCTACACAAAAAATAACCAAATCAATTAAAGAAATAGTACAAAATAATAAAAATAAGATTATATTAGTGTACGATAGCTGGAAAAATATTAAAAAAGAATCAATTTTTGGAAGTATTTTAGTTACCTCTATGGGCAAGGTTTTTGTTTGAAATGCAGAAGATATATCAAATGAACGTACAAAATAGTTTGATGTATAGCGTTGAACTAAAAATATGCTTAGTGATCTAAAAAAAGAAAAAATTAAAGTTAATGCTATTGTAACAGATTATGCACCTGAATATGAAGCAGCTAGATAATATAATATATATATATATATATTAAGTTTTTAATTAATATATCTATATACTTTGCTATTAAATTTAGAAAATTGTTTATGATGATTATATCCTAAGATTGTATTTATTTTATGCTTCACACATCAGATGAACTTGTGTGTTGGAGATATTTTTAAAAACTCAAATTTATTTTCAGTTGTTGCTGAAGAAGCTATTTATTTGGTATCTTTTTTTCATTGATCAACTTTTTTTTTGAAGCATCTTTGTTCTGAGCAAATAGCTATATATAAGTCATATGTTTCTTTTGTATCACCAAATTCTACTCGATGAAATAGTCACTACTTATGTTTTGCAAGTATTATTAAATCTCGTGCTGTTCTTCAAAATTTAGCCATAAAAATTGAAGAAGGAAATGATGATAGTTTTAAAGATTTTTCCAAAAGTATTCTTTCAAATATTTCAAATAGTGAATGTTAGAAAAATCTTATGCAGTTAAAGGTTCTTTTTGAACCATATATAGTATCCTTAAATAAACTTCAACATGATAAAGGTCATCTTACTGAAGTTCTACATAGTTTTGGATAGGTGTATCAAGTAATTAAAGGTATTTCAGATGAAATGCTTAAAGATTATTTAATACAGTCAAATCTCTATAAATGCAACATGTACAGACTAGCCTAAAACGTGTATTTAGGAAGGTTTGCATTTAGAAGGAGCTAATCAAATTGCAGCTTTTAATATTTGATCTGCAGACTTGTATAACAAACTTAAATACTGACTTCTGATTAGCTACATGCACTTAGGGAGGTTAGTATGATATAAAAAATCTTTTGAGTAAATGTGCATTTGCAGAATATAGAACGTGCATTTAGCACTAATGATTTCATACAGCCAAGACAAAAACGTGTATTTAGGGAGGTATTACATTTATGGAGATTGCATTTAGAGAGGTCTGACTGTAACAAAATTAGAAAAATAATGGTCTGCTTGGGAGCAGCCATTGTTGCTTTTATTTTTGTTATTATATCCAGATTACTGTATTAACCAATTTAATTAATGTAATGATGATTTGTCTGTTACAAATCTGGGACGATGAGTTGTATATTATTATAAATCTTGGGTTGGTAAACTCCCACGTTCTATTTTACGTGAATTACAATTATATGAAAACGAAGAATATCTATTTGATAGAAAAACTTTTAGTCAATTTGATGATATTTTACAATATTGGAAGTTTTGTAAGGGGGTTGCTATAGAATTACATCTTGTAGCAACCTGTATTTTCTCAATTTGTATAACTACAGCATCGGTAGAATGATTATTCTTAGCCATAGGATAGTATTACTCATTGCGACGTAATCGACTTCAGACAAACTTACTTTACCAATTCTTTTATTTTTATTATTTTATTATTTTTTATTATTTTTTATTTATTAGATATCAATATGTGTTTGTCTATTTTATAATATAATAGCATAAAAAAGTTCTCACTATATGTCAACTAAGATCGGAGCTTTTACATTCACGAAATATTCTTGCTATTAAAAAGTCACTAAAAACATACAAACAAAAGATTGGTATTCTACCTAAAAATAATGAACAAATAAGTCTTGATGATAATGAAAAGGAATTATATACGTCAGAGGATAACGATAATATTAATATGAGGCAAAGTCAAATAAATGTTGAATAGCCAGAAATAGTTTGATGTGTGAATGACTGGAAAATGAATTAACCTGGCCGAAGAGGATGATGGTGATTATATGCAATATGATTCGTTTAGCTTAAATGAGTCAGAAGGTTTGACTAATTTGTATGATAATGATTCAATATTTCAAGATGATATTTATTCTGCAGATAATTTGGCGGCCAAATGAAAATTGGCAAATATTTTTGCTAATTTATTAACTCAACCCACTTATATTAATCTGCTTTTGGGAGTCAAGAGTATAATTAGCACTCATAAAAAGAATTATAAGAAAAATTTTACTGTTTTTAACTATAATAAATCAGTTTAGAAAACACACATCTAAATCTATATATTTTTGCTTCAATATTATTTACCATTTTGCAATCAGTACTATTTGATGCTTGTTTATTTTTTTGCTTTGTATAACAGAACATATTTATTCAGTAATAAAGTTTTTTTAAAAACATTTTATATTGAGGAATTGAATTAACCCAGATCTCAGTATTGTTATAACAAGATGCGGATGTTTAAAAGAAATATACTTCGATGAGATATCATATGATTTGTATAAAGTATGAGGCATAAGAAATTTATATTATAGGTTTGATATGAGTACCACAAAGAGAAAACCTGTAATTTTTATTAGAAGAAAAATTATAGGTTTTCTCTTGTCAACTCAAAAAAAAAAAAAATTAGAATTGTATTTTAGTATAAAGTTGTACAATTGATAGATCACTATATATGTAATCGCTATTCTACAAGAGATTTGTACATGCATACAGTATAAGATCATATTAATTTGCACAAAGGTGGATCATTTTATGCAAAGTATGTTTTTAATTTCAAATAAATGTATAGTCTATTAGAACTAAAATAATATACTCCAAGCAATATATATAAGATTAAAAAATTTAAAAAAAAGAAACTTAATGTAATCTTAATTCTTTTTGGTATTATCATTATATATACTGTTATGTGTTGATTACTTTAGCCAATCGAATTCTAAAAAATTGTATTACACAAGTTATATTTTAAATTTGGACTAAGCGACTATATCTATTTAAAAAATATGAACAATATGGATATAGTTTATATTTGTCTATATTCATTGGTCCATATTGTTTATATCTATATTTGGCCAATACTGACTGGTTCTACTTCATTCTATTTGATTACTCAAATAGGTTTGTCTGGATCTTTTCGATTCTTTTTATATAATAAATTGTTTTTAAGTTGATAAAATCTAGATTGTTTAACAAGTATCCGTTTTTCAAAATCTATTAAGTCAGGGGAAATTTCGTCTGTTTCTAAATAGTTCACTAAATTTTGATAGTGATCTAAATTCATATTACAGAAGTAGAGATAGAGTATGTCTGATTCTTAAGGCATGATAATGTATTAATATTCGAATAGATTCATTTAGGTTTATGTATAATAGTAAAGTTATAGGGTTGTAACTTTATAATCTATCTACCTAATCATTCTTTAGGTTGGGATGACTTTAACTATTTTAAAGCAGAGTGGTCAGTAACAAGAATAAAATGGTAAGTTCTAAAATATTTATGAAAATGTTCGATAGCCCATACTATGGCAGCATATTCTAATTCTATGGCTCTATAGTTAATTTCTTTTTTTTTTAAGCTTTTACTAGCATAAGTGATAGGGTATTCTTTTTGATCTTTTGCTATTTGACTCAAGGTAGCTCCAAATCCAATATAAGAAGTGTCAGTAGCTAAGATAAATTCTTTCTTGTAGTTAGAATAGATTAGAATAGAGCAGTTACTAATCTTTGCTTGAGTTCATCAAAAGCTTTCTGACAATTAGAGCTTTATTCATAAAGGTTATCTTTATACAATAGCTAGTTAAGAGGTTGGGTTATAGAAGAGAAATTTTGAATAAATCTTCTGTAATATCCAGCAAGTTCTAAGAAAGATTAGAGTTGAGTAACATTGGTAGGAGGTAGGATAGTTTGTACAGTGGTTATTTTGTCTGGGTCTGGTAATATTCCTTTTTCTTCTATTATATATCCAAGAAAAAGTAACTGTTTTATCTAAAAATTACACTTCTCTATATTAAGTTTTAATCTAGCTTTTCTGATTCTAGTAAATACTTCTCGTAGATACTTGATATGATCATCAAAGATTTGAAAAAATACATTGATATCATCAAGATAAACTACTAGATATTTGTAAGCTATTTCTTGATAAACTTGATTCATAAAATATTAGAAGATTACAAAGGCATTGCACAATCTAAATGGCATCACATTAAACTCATAGATACCATATCTTGTAATAAAAACAGTCTTTTCTTTATTGGCAGGGTATACCATTACTTGCTAATATCTATTCATAAGATCTAAAGTAGAAAAGTAAGTAGCTCCAGCAAGTGAATTTAACATTTCATCTATTCAAGACAAAGGGTATTGATTCTTTTTGGTAACAGCATTTAACTTCCAATAGTCAACACAAAATCTCTTTTTGCTATTTTTCTTAGCTACAAGCACAACAGGAGAGGCCCAGGGACTTGAGGACTCTTATATTAATTTATTGTCTAACATTCGTTATACTTCTTTATTGATAAACTTTTGTTCTATAAGAGATATCATATAGGGTCAAAAACTAATAAGGGTATATTTGATGAGTTACTAGGTTGGTCCTTTCTAATTGAGTGATATCTTTTGCAAAGAGGTTTGCAAATTTTAAAAGTAATTGCCAAAATTAGGCTTCTTGGCTTGAGGTTAAAGGTTCTATTTTGAAAGCTATTTCTTAAATGATAGTATATACTTCTTGTTTTAATAAATTTTGTTGTAAGACAAATCTAAAGGCATCTGTTTCTGTTGGTAATTTGTCTGTATCACCAAGTAGTTT